AGCAGCAGGATCCGAAGAAGCAGCAGCAGCAGCAGCGGCCGGAGCCGCAAATGCAACAGCAGCAGCAGGAGAAGGACGAGGTGCAGCCAACACAGAGGAAGCAGCAGAAGGAGCCGACGAAAACGTAGTCGCAGGAGGTGAATTATAAGAAGCTCCTGCAGCAGCAACAGCAGGAGCAAGAGCAAGCACATGTGCAGTATAATAAGTAGACGTAGCTGTCGAGTGATATGTACATATGTGGGCATTTATATATAGCAGACAAGTAAAACACAGCAGCACACGTACCATACGCCTCAATCGCTCTTCGCCGGATAGCAGTGCAGGACTGCCTGTAGAAGTGTATGTAGCATGCATTCCAGCCTCCTTTACAGTTCTTCCTCGGTGTACAGCTCTTTGCCGCAAAGGTCTATGCAGCAGATAGTTACGGTACTTCTCGGAAAGTAAAGTTCTTATGCATATACCTTTGCTGCAAAGAGCCGCACACCGAGAAATATACGACTGCTTGTAGTAGTATATGCAGCGTACAACTCTGTCTCTCTTTACCATATAGCGGTGTAAAACTCTTCGCAGCAGAGGTGTATGCGCCATGCATCTCCGCCTCTATTACCGTTATTTCTCGGTGTAGGCTCTTTGCAGCAGAGGTACATGCAGCAGACATTTACGATACCTTTCAATGTAGGACTGCTTGTAGTAGAAGTATATGGAGCATACAACTGTGTCTCTCTCTACTATATATCGGTGGAGACCTTTTGTAGTATATATAGCATACACCTCAGCCTCTTTTATTGTTATTTCTCGGTGTACGGCTCTTGCAGCAACGGTCTAGGCAGCAGGACACTTGCGGTACCTTTCCATGTAGGACTGCTTGTAGTAGAAGTATATGCAGCATACATCTCCGTCTCCCTTTACTATATATCGGTGTAGAACTCCTTGCAGTAGAGGTATATGTAGCATTCACCTCAGCCTCTTCTACCGTTATTGCTTCACTTTGGCGTGTGTTCCGCATACGGGTATATATATTTATATATACATTAGCACCAGACACATACATACAAACACAAGCAGGTGTACGGCTCTTTGCAGCAAGGGTATATGCAGCAGACACTTACGAGACCTTTCAACGTAGGACCGCTTGTGGCAGAAGTATATGCAGCGTACAACTCTGTCTCTCCTTACTATATATTGGTGTAGGACTCTTCGTAGTAAATACATATGTTGCATGCATCTCAGCCTCTTTTACTGTTATTTCTCGGTGTACGGCTCTTTGCAGCAAAGGTATATGCAGCAGACATTAACGCTAACTTTCAGTGTACGACTGGTTATAGTAGAAGTATATGCAGCAGACATCTCTGTCTCTCTTTACTATATATCGGTGTCGAACTCTTCGCATTAGAGGTAAATGGAGCATACACCTTAGCCTTTTAGAGCCGTTTTTCTCGGGCTTTCGTGTATATACATACTTATATGTATATACATATTTACCTGTATGTATACGTGCTAAGAGGATATGCTGCAGCAGAACATCAGCTCACCACGCGGCAAGGGAAGCACTCATCTGAATGCATATATATGCATTCATACGAATGTGGAACACGGCAGATATGCGTGTAGACATACGAGTGTGGAACACCGCAGTGGTATAGTACGCTCGGTACAGGAAGACACATATATGTATACATATACCTCCTGTTGCATGCAGAGGGCGAGCAATATCATCGCGTGAGGCTGGCTGCTGCGGCGGCCGCTGCTGCTGTTGCTGTGGCGGCTGCTGCTGCTGCTGCTGCTGTGGCGGCTGCTGCTGCTGTTGCTGTTGCTGCAGGCAGCTGTGGAGCCGCTCTTGTTCTCTCCTGTATCGACGTAGCCGGGCCGAGAAGCGATAGAGTCGTGCTTGTGCGTAATGGTCTCGCCAGTGTGCACAGATAAGCTTCTGTTGCTGCTGCGCTCTTAGTTCGCGCTGATGATGTGTGACTGCATTGTGAATATGTCTGCCGCCTTCGTCCTGCCCCTGCAACAGCAACAGCTGTTGCTGCCATTCCTCCTGCTGCTGCTCCTGCTGCTGCTGCTCCTGCTGCTGCTGTTCCTGCTGCTGCTGCTGCTCCTGCTGCTGCTGCTGCTCCTGCTGTTGCTCCTGCTGCTGCTGCTGCTGTCCGTGCGCTTCAGACTGATGTGACAGCCGCTGCCGCTGCTGCTGTTCCTGTTGCTGCTGCTGCAGCATCCGCCGTCTATGTGTATGTGTTGGTTGTTGCTGCTCTCCTCGCCTGTGTACTATTCCTTGTTGCTGGTGCCGTAGGGAACGGGGACGAGGAGGATGATGACTGTGGTGGTGACGGTGATGATGAGGTACTCGCCCCCCGCCACGTCCTTGCGGGTGCTGCTGTCGCTCCAGCTGCTGCTGTTGCTCCAGCTGCTGCTGTTGCTCCACCTGCTGCTGTTGCTCCACCTGCTGCTGCTCTTGCTGCAGCTGCTGTTGTTGCTGCTGCTGCCGCTTCTGTTGCGCGTGTCGTAGCTGCAGCCATAATTGATACTCCATCTGTTTATATTGCTGCAGCAGCAACTGCCCCGCGTGGGGCTCTTCTGTTTCTGGTAAGATCTTGCAGCATGAGTGGCAGGCAGCAGGAAAGACGAGAGGAAGCAAGCCACGCGGCCTGCATGTTAAACACATCCACGCAGACATACATACATACATACATACATACATACATATACACATACATACATACATACGTACGTACATACATACATACGTACATACATACATACATATATACATACGTACATACATACATACACACACACCGGAATACTATAGTATTACTGCGTGTCAGAGGGATGGCTGCTGTTGCGCTCTGCTGCTTTGGGCGATGCTTCGGCATCCGCAGCACCACCCCGCCACCCCACAAGTGCAGCCAGCATCAGACCTGCATTTGTCCATTCGCAAGAATCAACAGCAAGGTGGTGTTCCGGCTCTTTCTGCTGCAGCTGTTACTACGCGGTCTCGGCAAGGGAAAGATACTGCTGCTGCCCTTGCTGCTGCAAGCCCTTGCTACTGCAATCTGTTTATATACTGCTGCTCTTGCTTCTGCGCAGCTGTTGCCGCTGCATCTGCTCCGCACCACCCCGTCACCCCACAAATGCAGCATCACACTTGCAGTTATCCACTCGCAAGAACCAACAGCGAGCTGGTGTTCGCTCTTTCTGCTGCAGCTGTTACTACGCTGTCTTGGCAAGGGAAAGATACTGCTACTGCTCCTGCTGCTGCAAGCCCTTGCTGCTGCAGTTTGTTCATATACTGCTGCTCTTGCCTCTGCGCGGCTGTAGCTGCTGCATCTGCTGCGCACCACTCCGCCACCCCACAGGTGCAGCATCAGACCTGCCTTCATGAATTCGCAAGAACCAACAGCAAGGCGGTGTTCCGGCACTTTCTGCCGCAGCTGTTACTATGCTGTCTCGACAAGGGAACGATACTGCTGCTGCACTTGCTGCTGCACTTGCTGCTGCACTTGCTGCTGCGCTTGCTGCTGCAATTTGTTTATATACTGCTGGTCTTGACTCTGCGCAGCTGTTGCTGCTGCATCTGCTCGGCACCACCCCGCCACCCCACAAGTGCAGCATCAGACCTGCCTTCATGCATTCGCAAGAACCAACAGCAAGCTGATGTTGCGGCACTATCTGCCGCCGCTGTTACTACGCTGTCTTGGCAACGGAAAATTACTGCTGCTGCTCCTGCTGCTGCATTTTGTTTATATACTGCTGCGCTCGACTCTGCGCAGCCGTTGCTGCTGCATCTGCTCCGCACCACCCCTTCACCCCACAAGTGCAGCATCACCCCTGCCTTCATCTATTCGCAAGAACCAACAGCAAGCTGGTACTGCGGGCCCTTTCTGCTGCAGCTGTTCCTACGCTGTCTCAGCAAGAGAAAGATACTGCTGCTGCCCTTGCTGCTGCAATTTGTTTGTGTACTGCTGCTCTTGACTCTGCGCAGCTGTTGCTGCTGCATCTGCGCAGCTCCTGCTGTTGCATCTGCTCCGCTGCTGGAGTCGCTGCAGCCCTTGCTGCTCTGTCTATGCAGGCAGATAGGTTTTGAAGACGTTGCTGCCGCTGTCGCTGCAGCATCGGCAGCTACAGCTATTGCTGCTTCTCTCCCTGTTGCTTTTGCTGCCGCAGCTACTACTGTTCCTCTTGCTGCCGCGCACAGCTATTGGTGGTGCATCGCTTGCTGCAGGCGCTGCTGCCCCTGCTGCCACAGCTATTGCTGCTGCTTTTCCTCTTGCTGTCGCTTCCGCAGCTACTGCTGTTCCTCTCGCTGCCGCGCACAGCTATTGCTGCTGCACCGGTTGCTGCAGTCGCTGCTGCTCCCGCTGCTACAGCTATTGCTGCTGCTCTCCTGTTGCTGTCGCTGCCGCAGCTACTACTGTTCCTCTCGCTGCCGCACGCAGCTATAGCTGCTGCATCGGTTGCTGCAGTCGCTGCAGCTCCCGCTGCTACAGCTATTGTTGCTCCTCCTCTTCCTGTTGCTCGTGCTGCCGCAGCTAGTACTATTCCTCTGGCCGCCGCACACAGCTATTGCTGCTGCATCGGTTGCTACTGCTAGGGCTGCTGCTGCTGCTGGTTGTGCTGCCCTGAAGCTGGCTACTTACCACTGCTGCTGTACTGATTCACGCGGCAGCAAGAGGAGTGTCCTAGTTACTTCTTCCTGGTGGCGCTGCAGGTGCTGCTGCGGCTGCTGCTGCGACTGCTGCTGCGCCTACTGCTGCGACTGCTGCTGCGGCTGCTGCTGCGACTGCTGCTGCGACTGCTGCTGCGACTGCTGCTGCGACTGCTGCTGCGACTGCTGCTGCGACTGCTGCTGCGACTGCTGCTGCGACTGCTCCTGCGACTGCTGCTGCGGCTGCTGCTGCTGCTGTGGCTGCCGCTGCGGCTGCTACTGCGGCTGCTGCTGCTGTCTCTTATCACTGCTGCATTCGCTGGTGCTGCTTGCATGCATTACACCGCGTACGCGTGCGCCATAACTAGTCAGCCCGCGCACGAACACGCGTGTAACACACGCACACAGAACATCAACATACACATATGTATATATACATATACACGTATGTATATGCATATGTATATATATATATATATATATATGTATATGTATGTACATGTAATTTAGTGAGACAAGAGTGTATGTACTTCTGCTGGCCTGCAAACGTGTGTGTGTGTGTGTGTGTATGTGTACGTGACCGACCGTAGGATGATACGGAGGACATCGTTGGGTCGCTGTAGTCGGCTGTAACTCCCCCAGCCTTGCAACAATAAAGTCACACCCGTACAGATACACAAGACATATATATATATGTATATTAATGCACATACACATTCATGTGCATGCAGCCACACATAGTCGGTATGCACACATGCATTTATGCATGCGCTTGAATACCTACGTGTACGTGTATGCATATATGTATATATATACACATAAACATACACATATATGTACGTGTGTACGTATATATATACATATAAAATTATCAATACAAGCATATACTGGCGTGTGCCTACCTACGCGCATGTATACCTGTAGGGTATGTATGCATACATAAATATAAAGGTACACGTGTATACATGACAAAAGAAGATCAAATACTCCCCTCGTGTAGGCAGCAGCAACAGCAGCAGCAGAAACACACAGCAGCAACAGCAGCAGCAGCCATAACAGCAGCAACAGCAACAACAGCAGCAGCCGCAACAGCAGCAGCAGCAGCGGCACCAGCAGCAGCAGCACCAGCAGCAGCAACAACGCCAGCAACAGCACTGCTAGGCACATGCATATGCATTATATAGGCCATGACTCATATATATGTACCGATTATTGCTCTGTGCAGGAACAGAAGGTCTCAGAGCCTTGCTGCATGTAAACAGTGACTTCTATCTCTACGTGTGCGAGCACATATTCACCAGCTTACGTATATATATATATATATGTATATATGTATATATGTATATATATATATATATATACATGTATTCATAGGCTTACATATAAACGAATCTCTGTACGTCTCCGAGGCAGAGCCCATCCTTCCTTGGAGAAGCGTCCAGCAACAGCAGCAGCACGAGAGCCAGCGTGGGTTCGTCTCGAGCTGCAGGTGGTCATACACAGCCCACGCAGCAGAACACGGAAGGGGCGTGTACATACGTATTGGCGCCTATATTCTCGAGAATGAAGATGCACACTTTTTCACCAGTACACCTCTCTGCAGAGGGCGTCACTACACATATATGTATATGCGCCCAGAAGCACACATATATATGAGTGTATATATATATATATATATATATATATATATATTATAGGTATGTACATATCAATGTATATGTGTGTATATACATTTGTATATAAGTATATATATGTGTAGGTATGTATATATTCTTCCGAGCAACAAGGGCAGTGCACTGCATCACTGTACTGGGACCTCTGCTTCGTAATAGTACTGCCGTAGCAGCACCAGCAGTACCGGTCTACGAGAGCAGCGGTGCTGACGGAGATTGGACAATACCAGACGCTTTCTGTTGCTATATAACTATATACATACATATGTATATATGTGTATATGTGTGCATATATATCCCATATTGTGCATATTTCTCTGATCGATAAGGGCAGTGCGAAGCATCGCTGTAGTATTATTTTTGCTCTGTACCGGTACAGCAGTCGCGGCAGCAGCAGCAATGCACTAGACTAGTCGTATGGAGGCAGGGGCCTTACCTATTAGTAAGCATCTTGATCTAGACTCTATATACAATATATAAATCCACATATATATATATATATATATGTAAGATAATCCACAAAGGCGGGGCCTCAAATTAGTATTGCATGTCACACAACAGTTACGACTTACCGACTCCGGCACACTGCGATCGTTATCCCACAGAGGAGGACTATGCGGTAAACCAGTACTATATGCATATGTTCATATATACGCGTGTACGCATGCGTACACCTGTATACACGTATCCGCATATGTGTACGTAAACACGTATACATGTACGAACCAACGGGAATTCACCTGGATGTCTGAAAATACGTATGATGGTCCCTTACTACCTGTAGCAGGGGGGAGCGTACATATATATATATATATATATATATACTGCTGTTAACACTGCACGACATGTATATATATGTATATATATATATGTATATATATACATTTATATACATACCTTGCAGTGTCAACAACAGTAGTCACTCGCTGCAGTAGTGGTGTGGAGAAAACTTATCCAGTAGCGGTAACCTGTTATAGTAGTGGTGGAGTGAACCCTACTTTTTAGCAGACGCTCTGACTTATACCTTTCCAATGGACAGAGGCAGTGTGTTGCTCATTGCTCCTAGCACGGCAGCTGTAACTAATCTGCTGCCGTACACTGCGATGGCGTTCCCACACAGGCTGCCTATGCTCCATGATAGTGCCATACAAACTTACATACAGAACTACACATATATACATATATATATATATATATATAAGTATACATATAGATATGTTTATATATGTGGGTGCATATATGCATGTGTGTGTCTGTGCATCTGTATACAATTATTTACTAGGTATATATACGTGTATACCAGGCGACTGCAACCAACTAGGTGTCTGCTTGATGTCCGGTATCAGGCTGAGAGGCGTACCTATATATACATATATACATACATCTATATATGCGTCTGTATATATATATGTATGTACATATATATATGTATATATATATATATTGCACTTCAGAGACAGTAGTGCTTCGCTATAATTCCGGTTGGGAGACACCCTACCCAGTAGTAGACGCCTCGATTTGAACTGTGCGAGTCCACAAAGGCAGCGCATCGCGTCCCTCTTGCATGGGGGCACATGCATATATATATATATATATATATATATATATATATGCGTGTATATACACATATATATGTATACATATATTGCACTTCCAGGGACAGTAGTGATTCGCTATATTTCTGGTGCGGAGACAACTTACCCAGTAGTAGACGCCTTGATTTGAACTGTTCTAGTTCACAATGGCAGCGCCTCGCGTCCCTCTTGCATGTGGCACATGCGTATATACATATATATATATATATATATATATATATATATACCACTTTTAGGGAAAGTAATAATTCGCTATAGTTCCGGTGCGGGGACACCTTACCAGGCACCTTGATCTGAACTGTTTTAGTCCACAAAGGCGGCGCATCGCGTCCCTCTTGCATGTGGCCCATGCATATATATACATATATATATATATACATATATATATTGCACTTTCAGGGACAGTAGTGGTTCGCTGTATTTTTGGTGGAGAGACACCTTACCCAGTAGTAGGCGCCTTGATTTGAAGCGTCCTAGTCCACAAAAGCAGCCCATCGCGTCCCTCTTGCATGTGGCACCTGCATATATATATATATATATATATATATATATATATATATATATATGTATATATGTACTGCACTTCTAGGAACAGTAATGATTCGCTATATTTCAGGTGGGGAGACACCTTACCCAGTAATAGAGGCCTTGATTTGTACTGTTCTAGTCCACAAAGGCAGCGCAGTGCGTCCCTCTTGCATGTGGCTCATGTATATATATATATATATATATACATATATATGCGCATATATACATATGTATATATATATATATATGTATATATTGCACTTTCAGGGACAGTAGTGATTCGCTGTATTTCTGGCGGAGAAACACCTTACCCAGTAATATACGCCTTGATTTGTACTGTTCTAGTTCACAAAGGCAGCGCATCGCGTCCCTCTTGCATGTGGCACACGCATACATATATATATATATATATATATATGTATATATATATATACATACATATATATATATATGCATATATATATATATATAAATATATATATATATTGCACTTTCAGAGATACTAATGAATCGCTATATTTCCTTTGGGGAGACACCTTACCCAGTAGTAGACGCCTTGATCTGAAGTGTTCTAGTCCACAAAGGCAGCGCATGGCGTCCCTCTTGCATGTGGCACAGCAGTTGCAATTTATGTGCGGCGGTACACTGCGGCTGCTGTCCCACATAAGCCGGCGCTCGTGTATTGGATGAATACTATTGTCCTGCATCTGGGCAGGCAGAGGTGCAGCATGTTTAGTAGGAGCTGTTCTTGCGGTCCCGCCTTCTCGTACTTCTGCTGGATTAGTATCATTACTGTCACCCTGGTGCAAATGTTGATCCTGTTGCTGCTGCTGCTGCTGTTGCTGCTGCTGCTGCTGTTGCTGCTGCTGCTGCTGTTGCTGCTGCTGCTGCTGCTGCATGTGCATCTGCATTAGCATCTGCTGGTTCTGTTGTATGTGCATCTGCCTTTCTTGCTCTCTTATTTGTTCCCGCGGTCGCAGAGCAGGCAGCACCACCGCCTGCTCCTGTCGCTGTTGTCGCCGTGCTGCATCTCCTGCTTGTTGCACCTGTGATAAAATTTTTCGTTGGTGCTGCCAATGCTCGTGTTGCTGCAGCTGCTGCTCTTGCTGCTGCAGGTGCTGCTGCTCTTGCTGTTGCAGGTGCTGCTGCTCTTGCTGCTGCAGGTGCTGCTGCTCCTGTAGCTGCAGGTGCTGCTGCTGGTGCAGGTGCTGCTGTTGGTACACGTGCTGCTGCAGCTGAAGAAGTAAGTCTGTGGGATAGCGTCTTGTTGAGAGATCCACAGCGACTTCTCCTCCTCCTCCTCCTCCTCCTTCTCCCCCGCCTGCTCCTCCTCCTCCTCTTCTGGTGCTGCTGCTGCTGTTCGTGAAAGCAAGAGAGTGGCAGCTACAACTGCAGCAAGGGAAGGCTCTCCATCCGTTGTTGCTGCTTGGGTACCTGCTGTCAGCAGGAGGGAAGACGATATTGCAGTACGACCAGAGCACATATGGCTCCCTTACTTGCCATACGCCTTCGCTGATAATAGATCTCGCCGCTTCTACAGAAGCGATACTGCAAACAGTCGCATGCTATTCCCCTCTCAAGTATTTCTCGTCCTATGACGCTCGTATATCTCGCTGCTGCTGCTGCTGCTACAGCAGCCCCTCTCCAGTCAGTAACACTGAGAGAGCCAGCTGCTGTTGTTGTTCTGCTGCAGCTATTGCCGTTGCTGCTGCAGCTACAGCTGCTGCTGCTGTTGCTGCTGCTGCAGTTACAGCTGCTGCTGCTGCTTGCCGAGACGCTCACGGGGCTGCTTGTAGAAATCCACGGACGGCCGGTGCTGCCATCCCCAGGAGGCTTGCCGATAGTACCTGCTATAGATGCTGCTGGAACACTTTCGTTCTGTGGGGTATCATTATTATTACCGTGAGAGGAACCCACCCGACAGGTAGTAGTGGCTGCTATAGGTTCTGTATGTGTTACACTTCCGTTTTGCAGATTATGATCACCGTGAGAGGGACCCATCAAAGAGGTAGGAGCAGTGATAGTGGCAGTTGTAGCACGAGGAGTAGTAGTGATAGTCGTAGTAGTAGCATCAGTACCTGCTGCAGCTTGAGTACGCGTTATGCCTCCGTTCTGTAGGACAGTACTACTACTGCCATCAGAGAAACCCATCACATAGGTAGTACCAAAAAGGGGATCCCTCCAATAGTAAGCAGCAGAAGCAGCTGCTGTAGGCGCTGGTGTTAAGGTATCTATTTGCACGAGAGTGTTACCGGGAGATGATATGATCCGCCCTCGACGTGTACGCACCGGCAGCAGCTGCAGCACCTCCCAGGGCCGAGGAAAAGGAAGAGAAAGCTTGTCAACTGCAACAGGAACAGCAGCAGAACGCCCAGCAGCAGCAGAAGCCACGTAGACAATACAGAGAACTGTACGCGGAGCCGCAAGCTGTGCGACTGCAGCAGAAACAGCATCAGAACACGCAGCAGCAGCACCACTAACAATACAAGAAATTCTGCGAAGGCCCGAGGAAAGGGAAGAAGAAACAGCTGCGTAACTGTAATAAAAGCAGCAGCGGCACACGCAGCAGTGGCAACATCAGCAATACAAGAAAGTCCGTGAAGTCCCGAGGAAATGGAACAAGCAGCACCAGTAACGATGCTAAAGATTCTGTGGAGGCCCTAGGAGATGGGAGAAGAGGAAGCTGCGCAACTGTAGTAAAAACACCAGCAAAGTACCCAGCAGCGGCATCAACAATACAAGAGACTGTATAAAGGCACGAGGAAAGGGAAGAGCCAGCTGTGCTACTGCAACAGAAACAGCAGCACACTACCCAGCAGCAGCAGCATCAGCAGCACAAGGAATTGTACGAATGCACGAGCAGATGAGAGCGACAGCAGCGCAGCTGCAACAGAAATAGCAGCAGAAGAATTGGCAGCAGCGGCATCTACACTACAAAAAAATGGATGAAGAAGTGCAACCTGTCCGGCTGCAAAAGAAACAGCAGCAGAACGCTCAGCAGGAAGCTTGTATATGCGGCGACTGTATGAAGGCGCAAGTCAGCAAGAAGCTTGTACATACGAAACGTGTACGAAGGGACACCAACTCAACACAACGCTTGTGTCTGCGAAGATTGGATCCAGGAACATCAACCCAGGGAGTAGTTTGCTCGCGTGGAGACCATATATGCCAGTGCGTATGTATGTATGTATGTACGTATGTATGTATGTGTGTATGTAAGTATGTATGTGTGTATGTAAGTATGTGTGTATGTATGTAGATAAGTCTTACAGGCAAATCTTAGAAGCAGGAGCAGGCAATCCGAATAGAAGAGCTGGAGGGCCTCAGTGGGAGACGGCGGCCTCCAGAGGGCAGCACCGGCAGCAGGAGGCAGCACCAGAGATATAGGAGAAAGCGTTTGTAAATGATTGTCCTGAGCGATTTTTGAGATAAGGAAAATAAATTCTGGTAGTTGACTGCCGAAGCGATGATCCCGCCAGTGCTGCTGAGAGCCTCCTCCGCTGAAGTTTCCTCTGCGAATGTCTTCTGCGTCGGCAGCAGCAGCAGCAGGGCTGGCTGTTAGGCCCGTAATACCAGCAGCAGCAGCAGCCGCCAAGGCAGTTTCTTGCGGCGCCGCAGCGGCTACCTCAGCAGCAGCAGCTGCCGCACGCTCACGAAGGACTCCGCCAGTGGCATTGCCAGCAGATCGCCATGCTGGTACCTGCTGAGTCATGCAGGAGCCCAAGCTAAGGGGGCTCAGAGCCGGAAGAGGCAGGCCACACTCAGCAGCAGCAGCAGCAGCAGGGGGAGGAGGAGGAGCTGGTCGAGCGCCTGGAGACGCAATAATATCTGCAGCTTCCTGCGGAGCAAGACTCCCGCCGGGTGCTGTTGTTTTTTCTTCTGCAGCAGCAGAAATCTGCGGCGAAAGACTCGCAGCTGTTTCTGGAGAAGAGGAGCCTGCAGCAGCAGCACGAGATTTAGAGTCCAAGGTAGCTGCTGCAGCACGCGGAGAGGCGCTAGCTCGGTCCACAGAGCCTGACACAAACGCAACAGGGCTGCTACTGCTGCTGCCGCTGGTGGGCGTTGGAATAGTAGCATGTAAGTCTGCTGCAAAGAGCGTCTCTGCTGTCCGTCTCTCTAAATTATGATGAGTGCCGTGCGTACCCTCTGCCGCGCAGCCCACAGCACTGGCGTGTGTACTGCTGCTGCCTCCGCTTGTCTCGCTTCTTCTATTATTGTCTGCTCTGCTGCTGAGAGTTAATGTTGCCTCCGGCTGCCTGCGGCTGTTGCTGCTCTCCCTCACTACTTCGGTTCTTGCTGCGTCGCCTGTACTAAGGTGGAGTAAGCCTGCAGCAGTCATCTCCTCAGAAACGCTGTCAAATTTTCTGGCCTCTTCCCCCCTCACCACACAAGTGCTACTACCTTGTTTTCCTTCATTCCTGCTGCTGCTGCTGCTTGTCGTGCTACTCCCCACACCAGGATGACGAACTTCCTCAAGCTCGCTGCTGCTGCTGCTGAAACCCCAGCCACCTTCCTCCATGCAAGTGCTACTGCTGCTGCAGCTACGCCCCGTGCTGCTGTCAATTATAGCGGACGTGTCGCCGGTGCGGACTTCCTCTGCCTCCCCTCCTCCGAACCTCTCAAAGCTGCTGCATTCCTGCGTCTCCTCCACACCTTCAATATGTAAGGAGCTACCTCCGCCGTTTCCCGTCCGCCTAGGAAAACAGCAAGAGCAACAGCGGCAGCAACAGCAACAGCAGCAGCAACAATAGCAGCAGCAGCAGCAGTAGCAGCAGCAGCAGTAGCAGCAGGAGCAGCACATGCAGAATGATGGGCAGCCCGTAGCACCAGGCGCAGCGTACACAAATATAATAGCAGCACCCGAGGGGTACGAATGCATATGTGTAGCTATAATACATTAATACAGGGAGTAAGCATGAGATTGCCCTGTTTGACCTGCGTAAGGCGTTTCCGGTGGTCGCTGCGGGCGCACGCCTCTCCTTCTGAGGCGGCCTCTATACATTCTGCACGCTCCCGGGCATAAGGGGGAAAATATCTGCGGCAGGCAGCTGCAGGCTGCAAGGAGCATCAGAAGATCAAGAGCGCGGTATCAACGTAAGACAAAGAAAAAGGGAACACATTCAATAATCAGAAGTCAGGACTCCCACCGGTAACCTGAGCGTTGCTATAATAGAAGAGTTATACATTGCCTTCGTTTTCAGCTCGGCACACGAGTATATGCAGACTTGAGTGTATATGCCTCAGAAAACAAGCACCTACGGCAGCATAAGAGAAACAGCGGCTGCTGTCGCCTGTGGCACTGCGGCCGCCTGTATATCTTCGTGTTGCTGTGCCGCTACAGCGGGTAGCGAGACTAACACTATGGTCGGGTAAGAGACATCTGGAGGCGCTGCTATTGTTGCTGGCTCTCCTGCGACACTTCCTGCTGCTGCGTCCTGCGGCCACCCACTACGCTATAAACAATATATATACGCCTTGGCGTACCTTTTCTCTGTACAAGATTTTGCCTTTTGCATATCTCTTCCTTATCCATGTATATATATATATATATATTATAGCCACATGTGTATACATATATATATATATGAACATATATATATATATATATATATATATATATATATATATATATATATATATATATATATATATATGTGTTCTGCTGGGCTAGATGCCGGTGGTGCGGTGCACACTGACTCCCCGCTAGATGCCCGTGGTGCAGTGCATACTAACTCCCCGCAGCTTCATATGGCGAACTCGAAACGCTTGAAACTGAACGAGACTAAAAGACGCTTGTAGTGCGTCTGGGCCTACTGCTCGTGCTAAGGGATGACTGCAGAGGCTTATGCTACTGCTATCGCGCCTGCTGCCGCTGCTACTGCTGCTTCTCCGCTCTCGTGTTGCTTCTGCAGCACGTTCCACTCTCCGGCCAGGCGCCTTACCTATCTGTAGCAACCGATGTAGCAGACGCTGCACCTCCTGACCCAGCGACAATAGCGGGATGTGGATGAGAAGCATCGGCGGCAGCAGCAACTGCTGCTGCTGCTGCAGTTGCTGCTGCTCCGCTTTGAGGGGCACGCCCCTCACACGGCGAGGCAATTGTATCCCTCACAACTCCCCCCTCGTCCATCTGCTGTCGCCGCATATTCGGCTGCACCTGCTGCTGCTGGTAATGCTGAGTCTGCTGGTGCTCTTTAAGCACTGAAAGCTGCCGCTGCTGCTGCAGCACTGGGGGTCGCTGCTGGTCCTGCAGTGGACGCTGCTGCTGCTGCGCTGCAAGCTGCTGGTGGTCTTGCGCTGCAAGCTGCTGGTGGTCGTGCGCTGCACGCTGTTGCTGCTCTTGCGCAGGAACCTGCTGCTGCTGCAGTGGCGGCAGCTGGTGCTGCTGTAGAGGAAGCTGCTGGTGCTGCCGCACCGCTAACAAGTGTTGCAGGGGCAGAGGAACGTGACCTTGTTGCCGTTGCATATGCTGCAGCTGCAGTGGGAGCTGTTGCAGCTGCAGTGAAAGATAGGGCAGCGGCAATGAATCATGCTGCTGAGGCGATGGGAGATACTGCAGCGGCAGCTGCGGATCCTGCCAGTTCACTAATATCTGCTCCTGGGGTGGAAATTGCTGCTGTAGGGGAACCTGCTGCTGGAGTAAAAGCAGCTGTGGCCCTGCATACTGCTGCTGCGCTGGAGACGATTGCTGCAGCTGGACGCATCGATACGAGGAGAGCTGCTGCTGCATTAAGAGCTCCAGCTGCATCAGGAGCTGCTCCTGCAGTGAAAGCTGGCCCTGCTGCAAGGGAGGCTGCAGTGGAAGCTGACACTGCTGCAGCGGAAGCTGAGCCTGCTGCACTAGCAGCTGGCCCTTCTGCAGCGAGAGCTGAGACCCTTGGAGCACACGCTGCTGATACTGGATAGGAAGCTGTTGCTGTTGCAGTAAAACCTGCTGCGGATGCAGTGAACCCTGCTGCGGATGCAGTGAAACCTGCTGCAAGTGCGCTGGAAGCTGCTGAAGATGCAGTGTACGCGGCTGCTCCTGCACTGGAACCTGTTGCTGTTGCAATGGACGCTGATGCAGCTGCAGTGAGACCTGTCCCTGGTGCTGTGCACTCTGTAGCTGTCCCAGCGGGAGCCGCCTCTGATGTAGCGAAACCTGCTGGTTATGCAGTGCGGGGTGCTCGCCTTGCAGCGCAGGCTGGTGCTGCGGCATTGGGACGTACCATTGTTGCAGAGTAGGCTGCTGCTGCTGCAGTGGGATCTGCTCCTGATGCATTGCGGCCTCCTGCTGCGGCTGCTGCATTAAGACCTGTTCTTGTCCCGATGGATTCTGGCGCACACCCGGTCGGCCCGGCTCTGCCGCAGCCGCCTGCTGCTCCAACAAAGCTTGCACTGCCTGCTGGTCCTGTTGCAGTGGGAGGTGACCCTGAGGCGGGGAACACTGCTGCGGCGGCTGTAGGGCCTGCTGCTCTTGAAGCAGCAGCTGCTGCTGTTGCCGCAACAAAGGCTGCTGTTGTTGCTGCGACAGGTGTTGTTGCTGCAGTGGATGCTGCTGAGGCTGCAGGGCAAGCTGCTTCTCTTCCAGGAGCAGCTGCCGCACTTGTAGCGAGGCCTGCCCCTTCTCCGTTGTCGGCTGTTGCTGCTGCTGCAGCAGTAGATGCTGGTGGCCTTCAGAAAGGTGCTGCTGTGGCGGTGGGGCGTGTTGCTGCTGCGGCGCGAGCTGCTGGTGTTGCGGTAGTATCTCTGGCAGCTGCGCGGGGAGCTGCCGCAGTTGCAACGAAGGCAACTGCTGCTGCAGTGCTTGCTGCTGCAGCGCCTGCTGTTGCAGTGCCTGCTGTTGCAGTGCCTGCTGTTGCAGTGCCTGCTGCTCCAATGCCTGCTGCTCCAACGCCTGCTGCTGCAACGTAAATTGCTGCCACTTCTGCAGCTGCAACAAATCGTGGGTCTGCTGCTGTTGTTGCGGGTGGTGCTGTATTTCCCAGACCTGATGCCGTGCTGTTAGGTGTGGCGATTGCTCTGTCTCCTGCTGCCCGGAGTTCTGCGTTGGAGGGAAGTGCTGCTCTTGTAATTTATCCTCTGTGAGCGGCTGCCGCACCTCCTGCTGAAGCCGGCATTGCAGCTGCTGCTCTACAAGATGTCGTTCGGGAGAAGAAATGCGTTGCTCGGCTTGCTGCTGCCGGCGTCGGTATGTCGGAGACTGATTTTGTAAGGAAGCGGCACTGGGCTGCTGTTGCGGGTGCGGCTGCCCGACGCGCACGTGCTGCTGCTGTTGCTGTTGTTGCTGCCATTGCTGCTGTTGTTGCTGCCGCCGCTGTTGCTGGTGTCGCTGCCGCTGCTGTCGCTGCCGCTGCTGTTGCTGCTGTTGCTGTTGCTGCTGTTGCTGTTGCTGCTGCTCTTGCTGCTGTTGCTGCTGCGGCTGCTGCCGCTGTTGCTGCTGCTGCTGCTGTTGCTGTTGCTGTTCTTGCTGCTGCGCCAGTGAATGTCGCTCTGCCTGCTCATCAGGACTGCCACGATGGACGTGTCGTGGCGGCTGCTGCATCGGCGGTTGCACCCTCCTCTTCTCCTGCTGCACCGACTGCTGCCGCAGCACAATTCCATTCTGCACATCTCTCTGTTGCTGTTGTTGCTGGTCGTGTGGAGAGGACTGACGGACAGACGCAGGCAGAGCACCAATATGAGACGGCCCCATGCTCGTAGGTGGAGGTTGTGTGGCTGAAGGCTCCTGCGAGCTGATAAGTACTGGGCGGAGAGTACTCAGGAGTTCGTCTGTCTGCTGAGCCCGTGATCCTGCAGCTGCACTTAGATCCGGTAGCACAGTAGCAATTCTGGGTGCAACTCGCTGCGGGCTTCTTTGCTGTTGGAACAGCTGCTGAGAGGGTGAGAACAGAGCCGCAGCTGACACGGCCAGCACATCCTGTAGTCTGTCCGGCGTCTCGCTCTGGTACCTGTTGCCGCTGTCGCTTCTCACACATGTCCACTGTCTACTATTCCCGCTTTCATTGGTGCCCATGAGAGTTTGCTCAATAGCGGTGACTCTGCAGTTGCTGCTGCTGCTGCTGCTCCTCACAAACGTCCAGCTGCTACCATTCTCACGTTCGTCGCTGTTCATCGGGCGTTGCTCAGCGGCGACAGTAGCGGTCGTCAGATAGCGTGTGTAGTCCTTCCCAGTGGTAACAGGGAATCTGCTCCTACGACCACCGGCGCTGATAGTTTGAATAACGCTTGCGCTATTCGATATGCTGTGTCTTATTTTAGGGAAGTCTCGCTCAGTATCACCAGAGGTGATATATGTGTCACCTCTCCTCACCTCGTGCGTCTCCACACCGTCACTCGTGAGGTTGACGCCGTGACCACCGGAAAGAGGCGTATTGCTGAACTGCCATGATGCGCTCACAGCACCGTTAGTACGCGCGACTGCAGGCGCCAAAATCTCCATGCTGGAAAGATTACGTTTTTCTAGAGAGTCGCCGCCCGCCGTGCTATATGACGCTATGCTGTCAGGAGAAGGTCTACCACTGTCGCTCCTACTACTGCTCCGGGGACGACGCCCCAGGGCCTGCCTGCTGCCTTAGAGAGAACCCTGCTGATTTGATCTCTCGGCAGGACCCACTACCTGCTTCCAAATATACGTGACGCCCGTGATGCTGGGATGGGTGTGAGACTCCTGCTGCTCTTCTGAATCACCCCCTGTTCTCTTCGCGCGAACGAGGAGCCTGCTATATGCTTTACTGCCGGTCCCGTTGTCTAGCGTGCCGAGCGGTTCCTCCCGCCCTGTGCACGGGGTTCTCTGGTGACTGCACACACACGGATACTGCGCGAATCCTGGTATTGTCGTGTCCGACTTTCGGCGTGGACGCTGCGCTGTAGTGTGGCTGTGCGAGTACTAGACAAGTACGAGTACCGCTCGAGTGCTGCGTTTTCTTTGTTAGCGTCTTTCAGGCCGACCCTGCCGCTGTGGGGTGGCTGAGTGGGTGCCAGAAAACTACAGATCCGGCCGCGGTTGTGCTCTTTGTTCTTGCCTACCCCGCTGGTGCTCAGGGGTAGCGTGGCCGAGTTGCTGCCACAAAAACTACAGACACAGCGGCAGTTCTGAGTCCGTCGTACCGGCTCCCCGCATTTATGCTGGAGTTGTCGCGTGGCGTGGTAGACGCTATGGAACTACAGAGCGTTTGAAACCACTCCGTTCCCGCTTTCCACGTGAGTGCCCGGGCGTGTGTAGCGTGGCTGTCTTGCTGCGTGCAGGAGCCCTATGGGCTCAGGTTTTCGCCTCTGCGACTCCTCTCGTTTTGAGATCTCTGCTGCCGGCCCCGGCCGCTCCTTTTTCGGCGTTGCCGCCGGTAGCGTTCTTCCCCTGGGACGACCGGCAGTTTGGCGAGCTCACAAGTAACCTTCGCGACATGCGCGGATTCTTCTGCTGGCGGTTATGCGCAGCCCCCAGCTCTCGGCTTTTCTGTTGTTTCTTACTCCTTTCCGCGTTGCTGCTGGGATGCAGCGCGACAGCAGTGGTAGTGAACCGGCGCAGATTCTGCTCGCGTGTTGTGTTGTTCTGTCACTCTTACCACGCTAATGCTGGAGCGTAGCCGGGGCCTGCATAGGTGTTCGGCGAAGGAAGGGACCCACCTCGGCTGTTCCCCTTGTTCGCGTTGCCGCCGGCTTTTCTCCCTGTTGAGTGCGGGCGCTGCGAAGTGGACGCCTCCCCATTCCCTTGCTATTTCTATCGTTCCGTGCCGCACAGTGGAACGCCTTTCCGAGACTGACCCTCCCGTCCTTTAGCTGCTACTCCCGTTGCTGTGGCGTGTCGGCTGCGCTCCGCGCCGATGCGACTGCTCCTGCCGTTGCTACTCCTGGTCCTCCAGCCACTCAAATTGCGGGATGTACTTACAGTTCTACTATCTGCTGTGTAAATATCGAGCAGACCCGCGATCCTACGATAGTGCGACTCTTCCGGCTAGATACCTGTACCAGGCGACTTGCCGCTGTCCTCGTACTGCTACTCTCCGGAAGGCCTACGTTGCTACCGCCTTCTGCTTTAAAGCAGCGAGAGTGATAATACACGCGCCGTGCCTATGGGTGTAGCGCTATTGTACACAGCGGAAAAGTCGCTACTGTTTACACACCCATTCGGAGAGATAAACGGCTCCAGGCATTTTCCCACCGGGAATGGGGGAAGAAGCGGCAAGACGCCGGAGGACGGAGGTATGGGAAAGGATGATGAGGAGCACCGATCCGTCACACACACACCGAAAGAACGTGCTGCGCTGCAGGCTTCAGGGCTCTGACTTGGCGCCTACGCACTCAACGGTCGACCCACAAAGAGGGGACAGTTGAGTCTGTCCCTTGTGGTAGTTCTGGGAGCGGCAAGGTCGGCACGCAACGGCCACAGAGAGGGCGTGCCCTGTGCGATGCGGCAATCTCTCTGCTCTAGCTGCAGCAACAGCGCGAAGACGCGAGCGGCTTCGTCGGGCGATGCTACATTCGTGGTATGTAGACGACGGTATTGTAATATCATCACACACAGGATAATCAGGAATACTGCCTGCGCGCGGAATAGATGAGGTGTCGCCTATGACGTCCCAGGAAGATTGATGGTTGGAATAATGGCTGCGTGGCTCGCGAGCATCTATATATATATGTATATATATATACATATATATACGCACACGTATGTACCCATGTATATACGCATGATCAGGGGACGGACGTCCACGCGTGCGCTACGGCTTTCCGGTACTGTAGAAGCAGAACGTGACCTACACTACCGAATTCCCTGTACCCAACCAGCAACAGCCAGCCGAAGCATAGGTGGCACGGAGGCCTCACCATCACCCGCGCCAACCGCTGCAGCATCCCTCGGCAACACAACCCGGAATTCCGAGGAGACTCCGTATCCGCCGCAGCGCCATACACACTGCAGCACGAACACGTATACAGATGCAGCAGCAGCAGCAGCAGCAACAGAAGCTGAGCGGTGCCCGCGTTGCTGTCTAGTTTCGCAGTAGTGCTGTCGTCGAAGAGCTGCGCGCGCTACGATCAACTTCGACGCCGACAAAGAGTAGAATCGACACCAAAGGGGGCCGCCTGTATCTTTAACCCGAAGCGTGGCGTGGCTGGACCTACATAAGAAGACACTTTGCGACAGTGTCCGGCGGATAATGTACCCACGGGGGTGTGAGTCTCTCTGACGCCGTGTGCGTGACCCGTACCCCCGTGACGCTGCACGTCTGCTTCGCAGTGTTGCGTACGTTCCCCCACCTTCTGCAGGGACCCAGCCCGTGTGTAAATGTGCAGGCAGTAGCCGCAGAAAGAAGAGAGGCCACTCCTTGTTTCCGAGAGGTTTCTCGGAAATCATCTTTTGTTTCTCAACTTTCTCCCGACTGCTCGACACACATCAGGCTGTTCCTAAAGGGCGCTATGTCCCCGGCTTCTCCCACCTGCTGAGTGCGATTGCTGCCCTTCATGGCTGATGCTATAGCACTCGCCAAATCTAGGCTTACTTTCGCCGCCGTCGTTAGCAGCGAACGAATTCAACTGTGCCGGAAAGAGTTTCTCGCCTTTCCGCTCCCCTCCTGCTTCCCCACATAAAATCGGGCCTGCCCCGGTTCCAGCGGCTCCAGCCGTTCTCCGTATGCACTGTTGCCCGCGCATCCGCCACGGGGCTCTACCTGGTTACACACTTTTCCCTCGTATTGAAGAACGCACCTGCCACCTCACCTCCTTTGTTCTCATAGTCTGTATTTGTTGCCGGGTGGTAGCTTTTATAGATTTTATTGGCCACTGTAGGCTCAAGGGGCTCCAGCGGACTTTTGTTCTCGTACACGCGACGCGTGTAGTGCTCCCTCATTCTTGGCTCCCACCTGCGCCACCGGCGCATACTTCCACGACTCAGCACCTTGCTGCCGCTATCATCTTCGATCACGGGCGCCGATCTTGCCACTTTTAAGCGGCGCGCTCCACTTAATGCTATTGAAGCGCTTCGAGATCCGAGCAGCGGTGTGCTGGCCTTGCTCTTGCGTCAGCTGTCCGAGTAAAAAAGTCTACTCTACGTAGGGGGCTACCTGATACGCGCAGCATACTGTGGCAGAAGCAGGTCTGCTCAGTACAGCAGCCAGCAACTTCAACAACACGTGCGGCAACATGAAAATCAACGGTGAAAACACGTGTCTACATTCACCTCATTGGACTGATGGTCTTCAGGGCAGGGAGTTGTCGGCGCAGAGCTGCACAGTAGAAGCGGCGGGACCGCCGCCGACGCGACCGGCAAAAGATTACAAAGAGAACGTTGTAAATTATTGTTTGACTGATCAAATCTCGAAGCAGCGAATTACTCATGCAGCAAAATGGACAGCTGCAGCGGCGGGCGTGGGCACACGGTGGGTGTACAGAGGATAATGGTGGTCAACCGGAGTATCCGGCCACGGTGACCAAGAACCCAGCACTTCACCAGTTTCTCTACTCGCACACTCAACTTTCCGAATAAACACACAATCAGCGCTGTGAATACAAGCAACGTCGTCTGCCCGCACGTGTACGCTTTACGACGTCAAATCACGGTGTCTCTCGTCGAGTACGACAGGGTACCGAAGTACTTCGGCGTCTCTTGCACAGGTCACTTCCTCTACGAAGAGCAGAACGCGCTTAGTCACGCCAGTGGGTGTTTGGATACACACTCGCAGGACATGCCAATGTCCAGCCCGGCCGCGCATTTTAAGGTGTCTGCACCTATGTAGAGCATGTCTAGCACACTAAAATCATGGCGCTCGTGGAGATTCACTCGTCACCCAGTCGATGCATTCAGACACCGCTTCAGGCCTCTGATGTGCATACATACGTATTAGGTAGCACACTAAAAGCAGGGCCCCCGTACACTTGTCGCCCGACTTATGCCGCTAGGCGTCGCTTTTGGCCTGTGCGTACATATGTATTATGTCTGTGGCACACTATAATGTTGGCCCTTGTAGACATTTATTCGTCACCCAATGCCTTCGGGCATCGGTTCAGGCCTTCGGAGGCAAACGGTATCTCGCTGTAGTGTTTAATACACGTTTTAGGCAGCTCCGTCCACTTCCCGTGAACATATAGTCAGCAGTAGCAGATGCGCGCTGCGCATATCAGCGTCCTTCAGGAACAGAAATGGACGTTTCCCGATGTGCAGCAGGTGGCAGCCGAGGGGCCTGCGTGCCTCTGCGGGGAAAGCGGCGGAGCAGTTTCCTTCATTATCTGTTGCTACGGGTAGAGCTGCCGCTTTCTAATTGGCAGTGGCTGCAACGCTTCGTTCGGTATGACACGGGCGTGGCACAGCAACGCCGAGGAAAGGAGGCACCGGCTAAACTGGGAGAGCAAAATTGCGTATCTGCGTCTCCTCGGGTCCTACCGCGTGTGAGGTGTTCGCCGGTGACAACGCTTTCTACGAACTCACACAAGAGGCCGCGAACGCTGTAGACTGTACAATGATACACATATGTATACCATCTAACAGATAAAGACACAGCTGTACATGTGTGTCTGCATGCTGCCGAGAAGACACTGATTCGGTGCAGACGTGCCTGGAGGTGTGTTGAGCTTGTACAGCTGTGTGCGCGCTTGACCGTGCACACCCGTAGGCGAGGAGCTTTTCTACGCCACACCCTAGCACCACTTCCGGAAGGCGACTAGACAGATTTGCAGATATCTGTGAACACTGCATAAGGGAGCGTGCCTTGAGGTGAACATATGTGTAGCTTCTACAGCTGTGTCTGTGCTTGAGCGTGCGTTCTAGAGTGTGGAACTTCTCCACAGCACGTTTTTACGACCTCTTACTTGTAGTATCCTCCAGCTGAGGAAATTGCGACCTAATACGCGACCACGACGTCACTGAGCACACCTGAAAGATCGTCGTGCCGCTTGACACGGTTTTCTGCGTACGTAATCACTCGGGATCAATCGGTCCAGAGTGCACAAGCCCTCTGTCGCTGCCTCGCTGGTGCCCCTGCACCAGAACGCAAGAAGGGGCAGATGAACGGGCATACAATTGCAGGGACATGTGTGGTTCCGTCTCTTCGTCGCGCCGTCCTAGCATAGTCGCTTTCGTATGTGAGCGCACGAGATTTTGTACATTTCTGTTTTCGGGCCCCCCGATGCATAGCTAAGCGACACCGACGACACTGCTGAAAACGCAGCCACGACCCTGTTCATAGTTTTCAGCGCCACCGCAGAAGACGACGCCTCTGCGGTCTGGAGCGTTCCCAGGCGGGGTTTTGTCAGAAAGAGGTCAAACCCGGTGGGCTGGGTTTATTGCAGACGCGTACCTAACATTGGTTGCCGGAGCTCGCGCGCTCCGTTGGCCGGTTGTTGCCTATCAAGTAACACTGAAGCGGACACCAGCGGCTGCGCGAAGCGCGCCAACTAAAGCGGTGGAAACAACGGGTACGCTCAAAGCTGTTCATGCTCAGAAGACGCTTAGTGGCTCTTCCGCCCATCGACAAGGTTCTTTACTGTAGCGCAGCAACAACGAGTGAGCATGCGGCGAGCAGACATAAATGGCTGTTTGTGGATGCCCACCCGCGCGCGACACACGTTGGGTGATCGTTGGCAATGGCCGCCCTCGACGCTGCGCAGTGCTAGTCAGTCTGGAAAATACGCTTAGGCGCGAAGCCTTTCACAGTGAAAAGACTTTCAGAGATTCTTCCGCGCATAAACAGGTGCCTCCGCCCCAGCTTGTAAAAGAATACACAACGGGGCGGAGCGGAAGCGCACCCTGTAGCTTGCCGACTTTTATGGCCTCCACAGTCGCCGGCGGTCCTCCACCGTAGACTGCTACCCGAAAAGGTGCTCGTAGCATAACGTGCAGAAGAACGACGGCAGCCGCAGCTTACCGCGAAAAGAAACTGCGCTGTGCAGGGGGACATGCTGAGCAGCAACAGCGGCAGAAACGACGCCACGAGCAAAGAAGCCGCAGCATATCAAAGGTTGCAGCAGCTGCGACAGAAAGGACGCCGTCCGTACGCGGCCGGGCCGCAGCGCACCGAGAAGCCCACGTTGTTCGGGACAGCACTGGCAGCGATACGCAACCGCGCGAAGAAAAGTAGTAGTGACGAGTCAGTAGACAGCAGGAGGCGTATAGCAAACGCGCGGAGCTGCGTCTACGGGCCCAGTCGGCGGGCTGGTTGACAGCTCCAGCGCTGGAACACGGGCTGGCCTACCGACTCCGTCTCTTCAGTAAAACTGATACATGTATATATATATATATACCATTTACGAGTAGGAGAGTCGGAAGCTACAGGCAAATGTGTTTTTTCGGAGCACAGATAGGCCGGCTGGCGTCGAATGATCCTACTCAACTTGGAAATATATGGTAGAAGTCTCGCGTCGAAGTGCAGTAGCGGCCTGACACAGTGTTGCACATCTTTACACTTGACAAAGAGAAATCCGCTAGGACTACGGAGACCGGTATACCTGCTTGATGCGACCTTTTCTGGGCCGATCTAGAAGAGATTTTACCGCCCGCAGGTGATGCGCTATCTTGATGACGCATGGAATCGATACGAAGTAGACGGAATCACGCGGAGGTAGTAGAGCAACTTAGTGTTTGGAGTAGTACGCGAAGAGCTCAAAACCTGGAGCTATGAACCAATCAAAGCTGAGCAGAGCGGTCCGCACTTGAAACCGCGCGGGAATTGCAGTTGCGGCGATGTTGAAATGGAAGGCAGCTGCAGTTCTATGCCCTGTGTTTCGGGGGAACACCCGGGTGCTGCGCACGGGCAAGCGTGAGGCAGAAGACACCACCGTTGTAGGCATACACGATCGCTTATGATTTGAGGACTCCAGTCCGGGTTCATTAAGCGCATCGACTGCCAATTCGGCAAGCGTGCGTGGCTTGCTCTTCGGCCAATCGAGCACGCGTACACGCGTGTAATGAAACACGGCCATCGGTTAGGTGCCTTGGCGTTCAGTCAGTGGGGTGCACGCCGTGTGGCTCCTCTTCTCTTCCGTGTCCCATACGGCGGCCCCCTGCTGTAACGCTCTCCCCTGCATCCTAACACCACTTATCGAGGAACATACCGCGGTTCGTTCGCCCGGTGTGTGCCAGTAGCGGGGCACAGACGCAGTCCGCTGGTGAAATGAAACAGCCCTAAGGCCCGCGTACGACGCCCTCCCGTTGACGCTAGCGTTGGTGAAGATCTGCACAGGGGGATATGCTATGCCGTGTGTGTGCTAGGGGAAATAGTCACAGACCTATACACGCACACAACACCGTCAGCAAGGAAAGAAGCATGAAAAATAAAGGCGCCCGTCTGCCTGCACGTGCACACCAACGAGAGCTTCCGCGCGTGGTGTGAGTAGAAGCTGCGACTGCGAATGGCACGCTGTTTTATTGGAATGGGCCTAACATACTGCTTGGAACAACGCCACAGTGTAGTACATAGAATGACACCCGCCAAGTGTTGCGGGCGCGCTGGCGTGTAACTTGTCCCGGGACCTTGGTAGCCCTCTGAATTCATCCCCATACAACTGACTATCAACAGCCGCTCAGTGCTTCAACATCAGTCGGCAAAATCACAGCTTTACATGCTGGAGAACGGGCACACTTTCATATTAGGGAGCCCCCGCACGCGGATGCTAATAACATTCGTAGTAGGACTGATAATATCTTTTCTAATAGCACTTATAATTAGGATTCTACTGACTTTCCTAATTTCGATAGTATTGATGGCTCGCGTTCCCGTTTTTCACGCTGAAATGTGCGCTTGAGCCTGCGGACACATCTTATGATAGCACCACCGCTTGTGAACGCCTTTGTCCCTTATGTTTGGACATATGTGCCTTGACAAAACATGTCGGCCTTACCCTACAAGTGCTCGTAAAAACACAGCCTCCGTGCCATCGTCCGCACGACTTCTTTACTGTTTCGTTAGCGCATGTCAAACGCCTGCAGGAATGTCACTGAGCAATTTCGACGACCAAGATGACACCGTCAAGCGCTGTAGAAAGGACATGTTGAGTACATGCGCATGCAGAAACGATGATACCCCGTACGCTGCTTAGACATGTCTAGGTTTGCATCGTTGGCCGCGTGCGCTCGACACGTGTCTTCTTCAGTAAGACGTCTCGTTACCGTGTCAGCAGCTAGAGTCTGCTAAAAATACTGCAAGTGAATTCAGGTGCAGAGCAAGCTAATATCGCGCTGGACGGAATCGTGCGGGGCGCCGCACATACCCCATGGCTGTGTTTCTTTACACGCATGTACGCGTGCTCGATTGGCCGAAGAGCAAGCCACGCACGCGTGCAGAATTGGCAGTCGATGCGCTTGATGAACCCCTTGTAGTAGCAGCATGTGCACGCGTCTAAACGCTTCTTCTACAGAATTATATATAACGTCACGCAGACCCTCGACACACAAACGCATAACGACGGGCAGCACAGTTGCGGTCGTGAACAGGTCGCAGAAGCACCTTGAGGCGAACTTGTCCAGTGTCACGCGAGCAAGCAGATCCTGCTTCGTTCGCTGGAATGTCTGGCTTCACTTTCCGTCCGCAGAAGGCCACGTACGAGCTATCACACGCGTAGAATGAAACACGTCTCCGCGCCAACACGAGTGATCAATGAGAGGCTACCTTCAAAGCGACCCGAGATTGAGTCACCACGCTATAATTATGTGGCTGACCGAAAGGCGCAGAAGCTGAAATGCCGTGCATCTGAGCGGTGAAAGTGAAGCCTTACCCCACTCGCGCACAACGCACACACACCCGCCCACACCCGCCCCTAGCGGACGTCCGGTGGCGCACCCCAGGGGTCGTACGCGTAGTAGTGTATACCACTAAGTCTACATTTACGATGTATTGGACAGAGGTGGACCAACTGACAGGACACATATACGCGCATGTCCACTCCCGCGAAAGCGCTTTTGATTTTGTGCACGTAAGGCTTAACGGCCTACACGCACGTGTCTCCATCGAGGTGTAGCGTGGAACATACATATAGGTGGGAAGGGTAATAGGACAGGGTGGGAACGCCTTATAACCTGTGGAAAAGATGTGAAACTTGAGTCGGAGAGTGTAGTGCGTGGCTCGTACTCTCCAGCGATACACAAGCGGCTGCTTGCCCCGACTATGCGTGGCGCACGCTTCGCAGACAGCCATCAGAATTGCGTCTGAGGGCTCGCGCCGCACATCAGCCGCTTGTGAGCGTCCTTCACTTCTTGTACCTGTACTCTACAGCAAAACACAGATTCCTGCCTGCAGGAGTGCAGCGTGCCCCCGACTAGGCACGGTGCAACCTTGTTTCCATCGATGATCATAATTGGGTGTAGTGGCCCGCAGCGCACGTCGCTCACGCATAAGCGTTCTTCACTTCTCACGGTCCCATCACTAGTGTCGCATGGCCTGTCCCGCTGGTGTCTGCTGTAGCATACATATATATATATATACATACATGTACATATATATATGTGTATACATGTATATACCGCGGCCTGTCACCTATATGCCTCGGTGGATCGAAGGCACGGATAGACGGCGTGCCGAGGTTGTCACGCCTGGCCAGGTCTTAATTGGCTTTGCAACACTAACTAGTTTCTCCATCTGCAGCGCGGGCCCATGCCACCCCCACTTATGAATTGTTTCGGAAGGTAAAGCTTTGTCGTCCGCGCCGCACCTTCGCTTCCGGGTATCAGAGAGAAGCAAAACTCGCGCCTTTCCGTGTTCCTTTTCGGCGGATAGACGGAAACGTTGGTGCCCTGCAAGACCATCTTCTCCTCATTCTCGTCCGGAAGTAAGACGCCTTCGAAAGTTGCCTATACTGCGCAGCCCCCGACTTACCCAAAGACGGCTGTCGTCAAAATCACTCCAGCACGCACAAACGTTAGCATCTATGCGTGGCCCTCTACTGACGTGAGGAGGACTGCGCATTCACTTCAGTCTGGCACGCACCCAACTTGTCGCCCCTTCAGCCAGAACGCGGGCAGAGGTGATCCGCGGGCATCCGCTGCAGGAGGCGAAACCTTTTTGGAAGCCACTTTTAGTGCGAGGCCCTCCATGTACTCAATGGTGACTGTAGACAACTTTCACTTGATCACGCACTTTACACCCGCCGCTCCCTGGGCTAGTCCGCAAGCGCAGGTAAAATGCGCCCGCCTATAGCAAAAGCAAGACGCCTTCAGCGGCCAGTGCTTGCGCGTGGTTCTCCACTTACTCAAAACGGCTGTACACAGCTTGCAAGCCCGGAAGCACCTTCCAACTCGCCCTTTCTTGGTCAGTCTGCAAGCGGACCTGTGCGCCCGCGCTATACCGAAAGCAAGGCGCCTCCAAAGGTCACTATTTGCGCATGGTGCTCTATCTACTCAAGGACGACTGCGCATAACCTTCATTCCCGTACGCCCTCTGCACTCGCCGCTCCCTGGTCCGGCACGCAGGCGGAGAAAAAAATGCTCCTACGCTCTGCCGGAAGCAAGGTGCCTGTTTGCGCGAGGTCCTCTACGTACTCGGAGACGACTGTACACAACATCGCTCCCTCTACAGAAAGCGTGACCCAGCAAACCACTGGAACACCACGGGCTGCGGACTCGACTGACGACGGATAAAGTCCGGCTAGTTGACGTTTTGTCGCGATACTAGTATCGGCATACTAGCCATCTAACACACCGAAGCTCGGAGCCTGCACGGAAGACCTCCAGCGAGGCGCGAAGCATAAAGGAATGGCGCATCGTTACTTGGTGTGGAATTATCACCTCAGTAGACCTCCCACGAGCTCTGAAGTGCGAGGGTTTACTTGGCTCGACCCGTTCAGGATTACATTTTGTGCGCGGTTCTCTATATACTGAAAGACTGCTGCACGGCACCTTCAGAAGTCACTTTTTGTGCGTGGTCTTCTATTACTAAGGGACAGCGTCGCACCACTTTCATTCACTACTCTCACTCCAGCACGGAATGTATAATCGCGACATTCTTGGCCAGTACGCGGGCGGAGATAAACTGCGCGATAGAAGCCGCCCTTTGCAAAGCCCACCTCCTCCCTTCTATCACAGGGCCCAATTATGCAGATGGCCGGGCACTACGTAGTTCTGTCCATTGTCACTGCTTGCCTGGGTACGTGTGTGGGGACCTTTCTGACCATGTTTTTGCAGTTACGGAAGATCTCTCTTGGCACCACGACAATGATACATTCCGCAGCAG